CGCATGAGGTAAAACTGAAACTTCACGAATATAATAAATTCAAAACAAGCAGTGTTTCCCAAACACCAGAACTGCAATACTCTTCTCGACGCGAGATTCTTCAACCAAGTTGGCGTCTCCAGCTCGTGAAGACGCCAAGGTGGTTGTTGAAACGCGCGTCGAGATGTTTATTGCAGTTCTGGTGTTTAGGAAACTGTGCTCGTTTCGGATAAATGGCTTATAACTTTCAAACCATTTGTTGACGTAGCTTTGCTTCAATAGTAAATTATTCTGTGTGAAATAACGAATTGAATGCCACTTCAGTTATAATTTTCGATGCAAGCGAACTGAAATTATGTAAAATGAACTAAACCAGATAGCTCGAGATTTGTTATTCAATATGAATAGCTAAGGAAAACAGTTTTTTTGGGATTTTCATTCGTTTTTTTGTTTGAAAAAAAAACTGATATTGAATGAACATTTGTTAATTATTTTCTACTTTTCTTTGAATGTCACAGCGGATATTGTATTATATTTCAGTAAGTTTTTGCACCTCAAGATAAAAATCTTTATAAATTACCTAAGTAAAATTGTTGTTTATTGAATGCACAATGTATTGAAGGTACCTAATTGGAAAAGGATTGAAGCTGTGTTGCTTGAAATAGCTTCGTAAATAAGCCATTATTTTTCGAGGATGAAAAAAGGGTATTGTAGGTTATCCCTGAGAGATGGACATATACCATCACGGACTTTTGTGAAGACCTTTTTTAAGGTGTACAGAGTGGGTCAAATCGGAAAAAAAATTTCAAATGCGATATCAATAGTTATCGATGGAAAACTATTTGTGTTATAATGAGACACCCTGTATGTTCCTACATATCTCAATAGATCTTAAAACTAATTTTCCAAAAATGTAGCACACTAGATGTTTTGCTAGTCATCTTTGAAATACAGAACTTTTAGGTTTGATCTAGTAGACTTTGGGCCAGGGCCGTGCCGACCCACACAGCGCCTGTGTGGGAAACCTATGAAGCGCCTCTTTTTTTCACGAATCTTATGTTTCAATTCATGTTTCTTTATTATTTGTTAATTTTGACCTAAATAAATGTTCTCCAGTTTTATATACTTAGATTATATTTTCCTAAATAGGTATACATAAAACAAGTTAGCTTCTGCTTGCCAATAACAAGAGTCTAAATTATGTAAGAATATAAACATACTTAAATTATATTATTTCCACTCTTCTCGCTTTTCTGTTTGCGAAATCCTTAATAATCTTGTGTATGTCTATGGATATTGTTGCTAAATTTGTTAATCTTTCCTGGCTCATTGTTGAGCGGAGGTTTTTCCTACCGATAAGTCAGATAATCAAAATTATAAAGCTTCAACATATTTTGGAGAAACAGAAAAAATTGCTTCATTTTTCAATAAACAACATTAAAATTGCATTCAGCTAATATGTTGGGAAAGTTAGTTGACAATATAGACAAAACATCCAAATTCGAGAAATTAGGCGTATATAATGTAAATGGTGAAACTTGTCCTCAGGTATATATAGGTCAAACTGGCAGAACATTTAGGAATCGCACCCAGGAACAAGTTCAACATATTCAAATCATCTTTCAGAAAGAAATCATATCTTCAACACTGATTTCAAAATTTTACACATTGAAAAAATCAACATTAAATCTCAATTATTTGGAAGCAATGAATGAAATTATTGAACTAGAAAATTCAATCATGTTACTGAATGACCAATTGGATTCAAATAGATCACCATTATACTGAACTTGTTTTCTTATGAGACCGATGCTCAGTCTTCGTAGGCATTGATGTAGAATTTATATAATATGCAATTATAATTTGAGAATAACGTTTAGTATAAGCTCTAGGTAATTATGATCGAAGAAATACCTGTGTAGGTATCTTTCACTTATGAAATATTAGACAATGGAAGTCCGAACTAATGAAATACATCGTTTACTTTGACTATACCCGTTTCAGGATGCATTTTAAACCTTTGGTATACTTGATATTGCGCAAAGGAGGAAACATTAGTTTTGCGTATATCAAAAAATGTAGAGTGAAATATTTCATAGCGGCTGGCAGAAATCAAAGGATCACAGATGCCGCGCTGGCAAAAATCAAAAGATCAGAGACGTCGCGCCGGCATAATACCTCATTCCCTTCCAAATATTCCAATTGTTTTTCTCCGCCATGCCCAGAGAACCGAAGAACAACAATCCACCATTCCTCCTGCACTGTCTCGCTAGCCTCCCCTCTCCGCTCTTATACATCGTTAAAAGTTCATCAGTCAACTACCTGCAGTTCTCATGGATGGTTGTTATGTGATGGTAGTTCATTTGTTGGGTTGTTGCTCCTAGATCTTTATCCAGATTTATTTGTGGTGAGAATTAATTTCTAATTATCAATATTTACATAAATTAACAACAAATAGAGTCGCCTGAATTATCTTTGAGTATCATTTTACTTTATTTAATGACGATCATTTATTTTTTGATTGGTCTTAGTGATGTACTGGTAGAGAGGGTCTCAAGAATGAAACCAAGAGAACTAAGTATATCGATTGTTTATAACTGATGTTTTTTTCATTGATCCCCATACTCATGGGTTTTTTTTTTATACTTTGGGTAACTGATTTATATATCTATTAATACAGTGCGTCTGCTTAAGTTCGCACCATATGGAAAACTTTTTAATTATCTATTTCACAAAAAAGTTATTCCTTGTGAAAACTTCATATCTACCTTTTCTTTGGTTGTTTCGGCCGTTACTTGATGTAGATCCATAGTAATCCGTACCAACACAAAATAGCATTTAATAGTAGCATGATCTATAGATTAGTCAATGTTCCTGTTTCAATAGATAATGTTTAATATCGAACTCAATATCGTCAAGCATATCGCAGTAAACAACGGATTCAAAGCTGAATAAATAGACAAAATACTTTCCAAAAAAGTCGGTAGGTAGCCGGGCGGTTCGATGTGGGTGCTTTGGTCACTCAGTCAATCGGCCGATGTGTGAGTCGATGGTTCAAGCCCCAGGCTGAACGCTCGATTTTCACTTGCTATCGTCCAATCCTTGTTAGGAATTACACGTTGAAAGGTAAGACCTCTTTAGTCCTTGGCTCGCACAAGTTTGGACTTCTGAGGGTAGTCTTTCGTAGGGGTGCGACAGCAGAATAACGAAAAAAAACATATTTCAAACATATTTTAAACAATGTTTGTTTGAAGGTGATTGACAATGTTTCGGGATGAATTTCACTAGTTCGGACTTCCATTGTCTACTATAAAATTAAAAGGGGGGGGACATTAAGGAAATGCACTGTACGTGGATTAATATGATACATTTTATTCTTCACAACACAGTTCTCCCACAGATAAAAACACAGAAATAGCAGTTTTTGTCCTGGTAAACACTGTTGAGTCCGAATTCGAAGATGGGGGCTTTGCAGGAATCACTTTCTGCGACCTCGGCAAAGCATTTGATTGTGTTTTTCACGATATTTTTCATACCAAGCCAGAACACTACGGTTTCAATTCTTTGAGTTGAACTTTTTCAAAATCCTACCTAATTAATACAATTTAGAGTGTCTATTATAACAATAAATTATCTGAAGCAGGCGCCGTCACCGTGAGGGTGCCACAGGGTTTGGCAATGGGGCCTCTTCCTTTCATTGTATATATTATTGATCTACCAGCCAATTTCTCTTCTACAGGTTGTGTGTTGTATGCCGACGATACATCCTTAGCCAATAGGAATAAGGGTTTAATGATTCTCAGTTTAATAGGCACAAAGCGCATTTGAGAGTATCACCGTGGTTTACTGCAAATCCACTGTGTCTTATTGCAAATAAGACAAAGAACTACATACTCAAAGTCAGCTTATTGATTATCAACAGGCTGTAAAATTTTTAGGTTTATTTTTAGACCAAAAATTACTATGAGATATACATTTTCAACAATATATCAAAAAATATTTTTCTTCTCAGAAATTTACAGCCTTGCAAATCATGAAACCCATATGTGTGCCTCTTTTAGCTTCCTACACTCCTATTCAACATAGGCACTCCTTGTTTGGGGACATTCACCACACTTTCCCCAACTATTTGGCCTTCAGATAAAGGCCGTCCAAATATTAAATGGCCTTAGTTTTCGAGCAGATATCAGGGTCTACTTTAAGATAAACATAATTATGAAAGTAGCCCCTTTATATATTTTCCGATGCATATAATGGATTCTTGATAGGCAACACACATTTGAAATGCATAGTGACATTCACCATTATAACACAAGAATCCGTATGATTATTGTACAGCCGATATTCTGTAAATTATTATGCACATAGGTTTTATAATAAGCTCCCTTTACATCTGAATTAAACATATACTTTTACAGTATAGTTATTACTGAATCTATGACATTAGTTGTAATTTGTATGTTACTTTAAATGTATTTTACTACGTAACCACATTTTTGACGAGTACAAAATCTGTATGATTACAAGAAGAAATAAATATCTATCTATCTAAAAAAGCTACATTCACGTATAAATCGTCAAGATACAAAAAAAGAGAACGGCATTATTTCAATGCCCCTCTATATGTTAATGTTTTGTTTTACAGTTTTATTTCAAATAAATAAAATGAATAAATAATTGTAACAATTTCTGACAAACAGATACGAGTATATTTATCAAGTTCTCACCTTCCTGCTCTCCCTGCAATCTGCAGAGCAGACGAAACCGATATTGTGTCCATCTCTCTTTCCCCCTTCTCATTCATGGTCGGTTTTATAAGGGAATAAAAAATTATCCTACGTATACTCCTAAAAACAGGAAATCAAACAAAATAATCCGAAGTTTGTTTACATACAAATTAAGACCCATTCCAATGGCATCAGTCGCTACTAATATCTTACAGCTATTGTCGGGGTCGTTGAATTTTGCAGCTTGCGCTAATTTCGTTCCTGGTGGGAGACCCCCGTATATCACAGCCACTTCCTTACCAGTAGCCTCTATGCCCCTCGACACGGAATAAATATCATTTTTGCTAAAGCAGACCACACAATCTCCTGGAAGAACATTATTGAGGGACCCTGAAAATTATGTTTTGATTTTTTTCTAATATTTCATAATATTGGGGAGTACGAAGTGCTCTGCTTTTAGCTTGACCTCAACATAAAAAGAATTGATGGAAGTAACCCAAGATGAAGAACACAATTTTTTTACACTGAAACGGAATGATTAATTTTTGGGATAGTTTTTGGCTTTCTACTACCCTATCTTGATAAAAAAAAAATTGGGAGTCTTTCAAAGAAAGGAAGGAAGCATACAATTTCAAAATGAGTAGCTCATTTTGAGTACATAGATGTGTAGACCATGCAAAGAAGTGACTTTCAGACTCAAACTGGAAGAAAAAAGCCCTCCTGAAACAGCTACTTTCATATAAACATTGAATTACACGAAAGAAAAATTATTTCGAAACAAATAATCTTGCATGAACATTGAATTATACAAAAAACAATTTTCTCTACTCAGTTTGTATTCCAAACATTCGTTTTGGAATTGAATCAGATATCATTCACAGGATTCCTACACAATATACTGAATAAAAGGTGAAAATTTCACTTACATTGAACACTGTCATCCTCACTGGTAGACATCCGATATTTCCCCGTAAGACACTTGTCTTAGGGCTCTTCAGTACTTGTTTCAAAAGAAGTTTTCTTTCATGTAATTCAATGATCTACACATCTCACCTGATAATAATTTTTTTGATTAAATTTGATGATGATTTGATATCCTTGAAACCTTGGTATAATATAATATAAATAATCCGAATATTTTCAAAAACATATTTCCAACATTGAGATTGGACTTTCATTCCATGATAGGTTTCCGCACTGAAAAACACTTTACCGACATGAGGTTTTCAAATGTACGAGTTGAAAACTTCAATAAATCTATCTATCTATCTGATAACCGTTCACCAATCATTATTTATCAAAATGAAAATTATATTTCATTGGAAAAATCATTACAAGAGTCAAACTAAAACCAAAGTACTTCCAATTTGTGTTACGAACCTACAGCAGAATCTTCAACTTTTAACGAAGTCAGTCTTTTATAGTTACGAACCTCTAAATCTTCACCAGTGGTCAGGCAAATCTGTCTGATCAAATCAACAGCGCCTGCTTCACCGCACAGGTGAATCTCTTCGGCAATGAGCCCTAGGAAAGCCCTGGTCCATGCCCATCCTCTTTGGGGATCTTTAACCATTTGTATTTCATCAATGACTGCCACCTCATCTAAAATCAAAATCAAACATTCAAATTTAACAACAACCAGAATATGAAATATAGCTATAAAATAATGGAACTGGACCTCTTCAAGGTCAATCACCATATTGCCGAGTCACTTGACATTCCCCCTCCACATTCCAGCCGGTTGAATGACACTAGCTTACTCAGTTGGGCCACAGCAATTCGTGTCAGGTCAAGTATCTGCTGCTAATCGAAAAAATGGCAGGTGTTATAATTTAGCAAAGTGTCAACAATGTATTTTTAGTGAAACTTGGTATATCCGCAAAAAAACCTATTTAACCTACAAGAGTATGGGGATTAATGTATGTCATAAACACGGGTTTTTGGGTGGTATAAAAGAAGACATCAAAGATGATCCATGCCCAAGACGTCCTTCAATTTTGAAAACAGATGTTTATATGTGAATTGGATTCCTGGAAAACAAACAGTAAATGAAGAATATTATCTTTAGCCATAAGTAAGTAAGAAGAAAACAACCAGAGTTGTGGAAGAACAAGTGGTAGATGCTTCATCAGGACAACTTTCCAGTCTACACTAAGCTGATTGTTAAGTAAATTTTGGTTGAGCATAGGATTCCTGGGTTCCAATCGGCAGAAATATTGTGGAAGGGATGTGTGAAGAGAAAAAAGTCTAAGCTCAGATGTACTGACCTTAAATGTCCCAAAAATTAATTCTTATTGTATAGAATAGAGCAGCACAGCATATGAATTAATTTAATAGAAGCTTCATTAGCATTTTTTTGTGGCTAACAATTAGTACAGTACATGGGCATATCGTAGATTGAATCTACTTGTCTTAGATGAATATTAAATTGAATATCACGGAATTCAAATTCGGTCTTTTTTGAAGAAACTCCTTAATATTATCACAAAATTCAGTTCTTCACATTTACCACCGCAAGATTTATATTGCATTATATTTATTGATTTTCAATCTACTCTTTTTTCTATATTTGATACATATTGTTCGAAATAACAACTTATAAAGCACACTATGGGATAAAAATTCTGTAAAAAGTAGGTAGTTCTTTTTGGTATCTTGAAAGAATTTTAAAACACGATTCATAAGATCAGAGATGGAACATAAATATATCTGAAAAACCCCCTTGATCATTAGAAAAATCCTTAATCTGCTGAAAGATCAGAACAAATTGAATTAAATCTATTCTCATACCCCAATAAAATTAGGAATGAGTTCTCAAAAATAATCAAAACTGAACCAGACTGTTTACTTACATTGACTAGTAACAGATGTCATTTCAACTGTGCAAGAAACATGCCCAGATGGATTTCCTGATGGGTCAGCATAATTTCGTTCTTCCCCTGTCACCAAATCGCAAGGCGTACCCTAAAAAAAACGATGTAGACAAATCTACAATGACTACCTATTGCAGCTTACTCTGTTGTTCGTTTTATTGAATACCTCACTAGCCAAAAGTTTAAGCGGCCCACAATATACTCCTGACTTAGCAGTTATGAAACGTTCTAAGGCATGGTAGGTTTTACCTGAATTGGTTGGACCAGCATGAAAAATTATTTTTCTATTTACTGCTCTAGCTTGTGGGTACCAATTGGCTGGTGTCCGCAAATCTGAAATTTTTCTCAAATCTTCCATGCAGTCCAAGTGGGGAAACATCAACTTGGCGTGTCGCAGGAAATAAGGGAAAATATCAGTTACGTTTCCAGATCCTTGCAAGATATCACTGAAAACTACATGAACGTCTACTGGTAAGGTCTGAGCTTCCAAACAGTATCGTCGAAAGCTCACGTATGCTTGATGTTGAAGATAACCTGAAACATATCACTTCGTATGACGCAAATATGATGAGACAAAATAACTCACTGTCTAAGCCATTATCAGTTAGCAATTGCTTTATTTCCTTTTTTTGGTAAAATTTATTCAAAACCTTCAATAGATCCGCTTTATTCAGAGAACCTGTTAGCTCAGCTCCAACATTTATGTCATCCGGATTGGGTTTTATCTGTACAGGAACGAATAAAGAAGATATAGAGGTAGAATCTGTTTTCTTGTTTCTAGTTTGAAAGTAAGCCACTGAACACTTCACACCAGTTTCACTTATCAATTTTGAATGGTTCAAATATAAGCCTTGAGCTGTAGCACAAAGGTTTTTTATTTTGCGGCCAGTTTGCAGCATTTTTTTGACTTTAGAATTCGAATAACAAAAATTAGCTCAAAAACTTATAGGTTAACATATTGACATTGACAGGCTAACGTCAGCCTCAGTCTTTCACAGAATACTTTACAGACAGAAGAGTCACTCATCTGACGGTACTTTGATGTTGTAGGGGGTATGTTTCTTTGATCTGTTTGTTGAAGGCGCTTCATGTCATTTTTAACAGTGGATTCAAATCATTTCAAGCTTATCGAATATGTTATCTGAAATGGAAACTAACACACTAAAACTTTTTACTTCTGTTTCATTATCTAATATTGTCGACATATTCTATAGAAATGATAGTGAGTTTTCCCATTTGGGAAAATTTTATTTTGCATATTACCGTTAGGATCCCATGCTCATTTTTGAAGAAAATCTAATACAAAAAACCTTTTTTTCTACTCACAATTTTTCAAAAATGTAAAAAAGGCTTTAGGAGAAAGCTGTCTAAACAGAAGTTGGTTGCTATTCGCATAGATGGCAGCAACATAACTGGGTGGAGAGGTAAAGTTTAAAAATAAATGGTATGTTATTGATCCAAAAATAAAGCGGCCTCTCCAAACAATATATTGCAGAAATGATTCTCATAATACTATTAAAACTCATAACATTGAGTTTTGCAACTTTGGTTACAGCAAAAGATGCAAATGTATTGATGTCTGAAGTTTTTGCCATCAGTTTAGATCCACCAATGTTCAACTGGACCTATGAAGGAATGAAGAATCAATTTGTATATCAAGCATCACTTTTAAACGCTCCAGATTTACCCTCCTGGATAAATTACGTTTATAGTGAAAGCCACCACTCTGGGTTCTTGTATGGCGTTCCGCCTAATAAAAACAAAGCCAGCATCCCCATAGAAGTGATAGCCCTCAATAAGAAAAATTACGAAACTAGAGTAGAGAATCTGAACATAATCATAACGGAAAAACTGAATCCAGCCAAGTATGAGGTTCACCTGAAAATAGACAACTTGAACGTTGAAGATTTTTTCATCGTAGATAGAATGGAGGCACTGAAAGATATATTTCGTAAGCAGTTATGGAAGGATAGTGCTTTTGACTTGTATGTGACATTCCTCAGTACAGCTGTTGAATTAGGGGCGAGAAAACCATTAGACCCCAGTGAAGGCGAAGGGTGAACATATTGTTTGCGTGGAAGTTGAATTTTAGGTAACTGACAAAATGTTTCAGAGTGGTGATAAGATTGGGTAGCGAGACTGCATTTTCCGCTGAACTAATTGAACTTCAGGATGAAGTTAAGCCACTCTGGAAAGTGCCAGCTTGTCCAAGAGATTTCAAGAGAACGTCTGTTGAGAGGTATTTTCGTGATGCTGGCTTTTCACTCGATTGGTGTTCTTTCAGACTAGTAAGTTTAATTGGATCATGACAAATTCCCTTTGAAACACAAGTTGACTCATCTGAGCAAGTTTGCATACATTTTCTACTCTTGAAATATTTAGAATAGATCATTTTTCAATAATCATTTAGAAAATGTATTTCAATGTATATCATTCCTTTTTACAGGTTGATAATAATAATTCTGCCATGCATCAAACTAATGAGAATTCAGTGAATTCAGATAGAGGTGATAACAATGATAGATGGCGTCCAGTATCAACTTCGGAAATCCCTCAAAGAAGCTACACTCACGAAGTTTTGGTGTCAGTTTTGGTTCCAATGATGATTTTGTTGGTTTTAGGGTTGCTTCTATCGTTTATTTTGTGTTTTCACCACGATGAAATGTGAGTATAATATTTTTGTCAACCATCTTACAAAATCAATCATATATAAATTTTTTTGTCTGGGATGAAACCCATATTTCACAATCCTATAATTATTTACAGAGAGGATGAAGAAAGTGACGAATACTTCAAAAACTTATTCCACATATGTACTGATTATTATTACAATCATTATATCTATAAGAGGTAAAAATCACCCACTCTCATCAGAATTACTAAAATCAGCATGACGATAACATTTAACTCATTTGGTTCAATTGTGAATCTTAAAAAGATAACTAATTGGATGTTTTTTAACTATTTAACCACCAAAGAACCATAATACATTCTACGTTGAATTATTAACATATTTTGGAATGGACATATGCATCAGATTGTACCAATACTTTTAGACAATTCAAAATATTTCTTGGCATTTGGAACCGTGTCCTTGAAAAACATGAAATTGTTAAACAATTAGGTATTAATGACATATCTGCCCTATTCCTAATTTCGAAAATGATATATGCAAATTATTTCTCCTGGTGCTATAAACACGTATTTGATTTTTTCTCAACAGAGAATTCACTAGTCCATGCTGGGCAGATACTACTAAGTTTCCTCACAAGAATATTCATATACATTTCTCAATTAAGTTTTTCGTCTGTAGTTATAGCCAAAGATGTCATATATGATACTTGTCCAATTAATGGGTGGATCAAAGTCATGAATATTCTTCTGCTGGAAGAGCATATATAATGAGCACGGCAGAGTCAAATCACTAATGAAAATAAGGAACAGTTATGGCCCCAGGATTGAGCCTTGGGGCACTCCTTTTAAAACCTACATCATTTTCGATATAAATGTTCCATTGCAAACTGTTTTGAGTTCTATTCAACAAATAAGAAACAACCTATGCATTAACTATGTTACTTACTCTTATTCTATGGAGCTTTTCTACCAGAAGATCGTGGCTCACTGTAAATTCTTCATTCTCGATTCCTGTTGATGTATTTTATGTAAATATATTTTATAATATTACATATTTTACATAAAAATTGCATGTTTAAAATACTCACCGCTTATTCCAACATGTTTTTCTCTATGTATCTCAGCACAATAAAGTATTATAATTATTGATAAACTGTCGATATTTTCAGAACCAGTCACATCGAACAATTTTCAACGGACGTAATCGATCAGATCGATACCATCCAAAAAGCTACGGAATCTCTTCGCAACTTTTCCAGCAATAGAGACGGCATGTCTCCCGACCTACACAGCCATACCAATAGCCCAAATTCGACCATCAGTCGTGGCATGCACTGCAGACCTAGCCCCCCGCCGTATGTACGACCAAAATTCAAATCTGAAATTTGACAGGATGATAGTGAAGAGGAAGAAAAGACATGGTACTGTTAAATGCCAACGGGATCATCCAGGAGTAGAAATAGACTTACGTTATGACCCTGCATACTCGTTAGATTAGATCCTTCAGTGTTGCTTTGATTCCTAGGAGAGTGAGAGAGAGATTCAATGGCAAATATATTATGTGTGAATTCCTTGCAGTAGAGGGTCATTGATGTTATTGCTTAAGGAACTTGCACTATTGTTCGATAACTCCCCAAGATTAACTATCTAATTATTGATATATTTGTAAAACCACTTATCAAACAGGGTGAGACATTATGACGTAAGCACGCCAAAAAATGCATAGAAGCAATATCCAACTGACATATTCTATTATCCTGGGTTGAGTGCCCTGAGTTAAAATCTTCTCCACGCGGTTACTGTGTGTAGAACGTCCCATCTCGTCCATCCACCCCCGCTCCTCCGGAGTGGTCCTCAACTTATTGATGGGAACTTCAGCAAGATTGACATCTGACCTCTTTTAGTCGAAAGTCAGATTTTAGGTGCTTTTACTTTCCAATCTAAGGTTTGTTTTTATCATGGCTTTCCCAACTGAATTTTTGCATTTGCAGTGAATCTGAAAATGAGATGAATTTGAAGTCTGGTTGAGAAATTTTTTATATTGGAGCCGCCTGATAGCGACTCTCGGGGGTGGCCTCTGGTTCTGCTTCGTTGGCCTCCTGTGTTTGCCCTTCTCTCGGAATCTGGGGTCATACCTGTTTAGTGCGTTATGTGGATCGCTTAGCGCTGGATTGCCGTGCGCTCGAATTGTGTCAAACGTGTTCTCTGTGTGTTTTCTCATATATGCGTCAACGAGGTGTATGTTCAGGTCTTGATCCCGGAATATTTACCTTTCCAATAGGTACATATCTTGGAGCGTTTACGGCAGCCCTCATGCACGCGTTCATAAACGACTGGATCTGTCTTCTGTATGTCGCTGCGCACTGGCCCCAGGCAGCGCAGGCATACAGGATGTAATATTACGGTCTTTATCATCATCAGCTTCACTTTCAATCCCATATTGCTTCTTCGACCTATTATTGGTAATAAGTTTTGTCCGGCAGATCTCGCCATTCCTATTCTCTGCCGTACGTGAGACCTGAACGTTAATCTTTTGTCTAGGTTGACTCCCAGCTATCTAGCTTCTAGCCACAGATTCTCTTGTACGTTGAAGATAACGTTTCCATCCTCCGTGTACCATCCTCCGGGTGAACAGTATTGCATGACTCTAGTTATGCAGGTTGGCCCATCCCTCTAATCTATCTGCCTGTTGCTGCAAATATCTGGTGACGTGCGCTGGTCTTGTTGATCTCGCCAGCAGAGCTGTGTCGTCCGCGTAGAGTGCCAACTTGTTGTTGTCCTCCGGCTTGGGAACGTCTGCTGTGTATACCCCCGAACAAGCAAAATTAATTCCAACTAATCATAAGCTCTATCTGCAGTTTATTCAATAAGATGTTCGCTGCGCCACCTGCAAGAGAAAGTCTCGACCAAATGAAATTAATTTCTGCCTTTCATACATCGGAAATTACTTGCGACGAATGAACAGGAGCCTATTGGATTTACTCCAGCTTTCTGCGCGGCAGTGGCTGCGTTAGTTATTGTTTTAAAGTCGGGTATTTGTAACACGTACCTACAAAGTCGAAGTTTAACATGAGAGGCAAGGGTATGGTGTTTTTACCTAAACTGAAGCATGCCATAAGCACCTTCCCGGAAGATATTCAATCATTATTCTGACCCCCACCCAGGAGTATGTATTTGTGGAGTTGTTTCCGGACTTTGTCTGCAGGTGGCGCAGTGGATATTCTACTGAATCAGCTTCAGATAGAGCTTATGACTAGTTGGAATTAAATGTTTCTTCGGGACCCATCCACGAGTGGAAGACCAACAAAAAAGTGTACATTGTTCTATTAGACATCTCGAAGGCCTTCGACCATGTATGGCACAAAGGCCTTCTACACAAATTAATCGCTTCCGACCTGCCTCGGGGTCTGATCCGGTGGATTGGGTCTTTCCCGAAAGACAGAACATTTCAGGTTAGAGTAGAGGGCTCTCTGTCTGACAACAGAGAGATCCTCGCTGGAGTGCCACAGGGGGCCATACTCTCCCCAACGCTGTATTCACTTTACACCAGTGACCTTCCGAGGCCTGAGTGTTTGAAGATATCCCTATACGCCGATGACACGGTTCTCCTCTCGTCTTCCATGGAGCGCTGGTATCTCCATTGGAAGATCCGAGTGAACCCGAACGAACAAGACTCAGGCGATAACCATGGGAAGATTGAAATCTTCTCCGGCCAGAAAAGTGAGAATCTCTTGAAGGGGGATTGACTGGCAAGCGCGGGTAAAGTACCTCGGCCTTCCAATAGAGCGTAGGCTCACTTGGAACCCGCACTTTATGTACCTTAAGTAGGTAAATTTTCGTTATGTGGACACCCGGCGATTTTGAAAAAATTTTTGACTGTAATTACGTATTTTGATGCGTAGATTACAAATCCGAAAAAAAAGCGGCGCTCTCCCTTATTTAAAAAGTTACGGCCCTTCAAAGTTCAGAAAAGGGCAACTTTTCAGCCTTCTTTTTCACTAAATGAACTATTTAAAAACACAAGCATTTATTCTCTAGGTCACCTTTACACCTTATTACGTAAGTACAGTCAAAAATTTTTTCAAAATCGCCGGGTGTCCACATAACGAAAATTTACCATATCTTCATTCTGGAGAGACTACAACACAAGTTAATGAGGATGATTGTGAATGCTCCTTGGTTCGTGCGGAATGAAGCCATCCGCAGAGATTTGCAGCTGTCTTCCATTCGGCAGTCTATTCAGTCGAGGAATCGGCGGGTTTTTGATAGCGCCGAAATTCCGTAAGTTAGGGAAGCTATAGACGATCCCTCCCGATATAGAAGGCCCCGACACTCTGTCGAATAAGGCTCTCATGTCCCCCGTTAACGGATGAACAATTTCCTCATCCATCCCACCCCAGCCAAGTAGGGGTACACCGTGAAATGATCTTCCCGGTACTAACGAGAAGCAAGTACTCCGAAACCGGTCTATCGGTGATCGTCCTGACCAAATGGAATCAATTTCAGCTTTTCATATGCAGGAAGTTACTTACGGAGAATCTTCCAAATGGAAGACGTTGCGCAGGTGCCTGATGGCTTAACTTCAGCTTTCTGAGCGGCAGAGAAATGACGCTCAAATGGTTTGAATCTTACCTTTCAGGAAGGAATCGAATAATAAGAACAACAGGACTTATTTTCATTATATGACAATGACATTGCAAATTTGAGCATTTCTGGAAATTTCACTGTTTTCGCTGATGACACGACGGTATTGTGGAACAAAAGCTCAAATGATTTACACAATGCAATATCTACTGATATGAAAAACATCAAGGAGTGGTGTGATGCTAATTTGCAATCCTTCAATTGATCACTAAAACAAACATTTTATCATTTATAGATGTGCTCTTGATGACCTGTCATTCGGTGATAACTTAGTAATCAAGAGACTCAATCTAAATTTCTAGGTATTCACATTGACAACAAGCTCAAATTTATTGAGCATATTAAACAAGTTAAAAGTAAAATTTGTTCTAGATGTTATGCAGTGAGAGTAACTTCATTAAATTCGGGAACCAAAACTGCCAGAACGGTGTATTACACCCTCGTTGAATCCCACCTACGTTATGGAATACTGTTGTGGAGAGTATGCAATTCATCAGCACTTCTCTCTGTATTAGTACTGCAGAAACGGGATTAGGTTCCTGCAGAGAATGAAGAATATTACCATGAGGTTCTAGCTACTTTTCGTCAGAGAAGAAAGTGACCATAGTTGTGGAAGAACAAATCGTTGTTAGGTCTTCTTAAATCACTTTTACCTGTGTTGATCTTCTGTATTAGTACTGCAGAAACGGGCTATCAGGTATATGTGTAAAATTAAACCTCGTGAATCATGCAGACACACATTCGCTGAGCAAAAAATTTTAACAATGACTGCTTTGATCATTTTGGAAACGGTTTGCCTCATTTACAAAAATATGTCCCTATTTGAGGTTACATGCCATTCTTATAGCACCCGTTCTACTGCGTTGAAATTGACAATTCCTTTAACAAATTTGGTCAGGAATTCTATTTATTACAATGGGGTCAGGCATTATAAGTCTATTATAATGCCTATAATAAGTCTATAATAAGTGTTGATGATATTTTTAAACAAGTCTGTACACAACCATGTTGAGACAAACTTTCGATATTGAACTATTTCTAACTCTACTTTTTTGTAGGTGTTTTTATATTCACATTTTATATTTCTATACTTACATTTGTATGTATTTTTCACAAGCTTTGTCCACGAGATTTATTCTTATTGACAATAATAATTATTATTATCAGCTGGGTTAGTTGTTGTTTTTCCGTCGGGTATCTGCCACACGTACCTACAAAGTCGTAGGTGTACATTACAGGCAAGGATATGATGTTTTCTCCTAAACTTATCGGTGGTCGTCTCGATGTAATTAATGACGTAGTTAATTGTAGGAATTAAACATAGAATTCAGTCTCAGAACTTAGAAATTTTTAATTCGAATCAATATTTTCAGCCATTGAAAATATGAAGTTCTATACAAAAAGAAAAACAGCAATGAAATATACGAAACCAGTGATTTATTCGACATTTAAAATATATAATGTATATTCACAATAACAGAAACATCCTGTCACCTTATCTAAAAATACTGCACAAATTCCTGGTACTTAAGTACAAACCCGAACCTATTCCTGCTTACCGCTAGGATCACAATATACATCTGTAAGATTCTCCTCCGAATCCAAAGCGTTCTGCCTGGACAACCGTCCTGAACTCTGTGAACAACTATGCAAGCTAAAATTACTATTGCTACGACCGATGGAACTGGCATACCCCAGAATGGAGTTACTGATATCATCCGACATGGTTCTCTGCCTCTCCCCTTGGTGCTCAGTACCATTATTATCTTCGATGAAGACGCTGTCCGACAGTAACATTGTGGGACTCACCTCGGTGGTATCAGTGAGGTTGAGTTCGCTGCGAGTGAATTTGGTCGTATGTTTATCAGGAGACAGGCTCTTCTGAGATGCTGGAGATAGTGGAAGGCTCTTAGAGCTGGGGGTTTTAATCTCGGAGCTCTGACCAGACTTGGAAGGCGTTGACATTTCTGACACCAAAGGCGTGCTCTCATTGTCACTTGTCTCGTTCAAGTCCGGACTGGAATGCAACAGTTTCTCTTTCAGCTTGTGCAGCTTCTCGAAGCCCTTTTTTTCCTTCTTCTCGAGCTTCTGGCTGTTATCGATGGACTTGGACCTGTTCCTCAGTGAAGACTTTAGCGGTTTGCTGTCGCTTTTAACCAGATTCAGAGAGCTGGGCCTGGTTCTTGTCTGTGATGCTGTGTGCCTGTACTCGCTGAGTAGGGGGGTTTTGTTCGAGAGCTGGTTCTCGTACGCTACTGAGGATGAGGTGGTGCTGATGCTTATTCGGGGATGGGTGTCCGAATAGTCGGTTTTTATGACGACGTGCCTGCCCTTGCTAGAAGATTCCCCCGACTTCAGATTGGAATGTTTGCTACCGACAGAGAGCTTCCTTTCTACAACTGCAAAATAAAATTGATGGTTCCATTTATAATCTTCATTCTCCTTGAGGAGTTTTATAGTTATAACTGTATTGACATTATTACGTTAATTTAAAGTGGAGCCCTATATTTTCAACAATTCACTGAGTTAATTAACCTCACCATCAACTAGAAAAATTACTGTTCGAGTTTTCCTAAATTTAAGGAACAGAAGGAACCAATAACTAGGTTAAATAATGTTTCTGTAAGCAGTAGGGAGGGTAAGTGAAGGACCACAGCAATTAGGCCACATATGACCCATTGTACATCCTCCCAAGGTGGATGCCAACTCTTTAGCCGGTTTATTGGCTAAAGATGCCAACTCTTTAGCCAGTTTCTTGGCTAAAGATGCCAACTCTTTAGCCAGTTTCTTGGCTAAAGAGTTGGCAATGCGATTACCTGTACTCCTCTCGTGTTCCTTTAACCCACCTCAAGGTAATGTTATTATCTACCGAGGCTTTGGCTAAATCTCGGTGGTACTCTAGTACTAGCCCTGAGGTAACACGTTGTCCGTTCAAGGCTAATAGGGTTTGTCTACTATCAGTGCAGATTATTATGTTTTTACCAGAAATTAATTTCCTGGTTATTTCTATTACTAGCTGCCTGCAGCAGAGGTTGCGCAGCCATAGGCTCAGCCTCAATTGACCAATTCCTACTTTGAAGTTTACACCAGCCGTGGGCTCTAAATAATGTTTTATCATCATTCAAAAGCATCTGGATCTGAAAAATTTCAATAAAAACTGAATGTGGGAACCTTAAGTTGCAAACCCAACGTTTGCATCATCTAAATGTTGACTTCCAATAAAGGATCAAGTCGTGTTGGTACCCATCAAGTATGAACCGGAGTCTTACATTACAAAAATTTAAAATGATAGGTGTTTGGCAGGATTTTTAGAGTTGTCAATTAGTTCTCTAATCTTCCGCATCTCTCCATGGTCTGTTTATAATCAATAAGCCTACAAAAACCATGTCTGGATGTTTTATGGTTAAAATGTACTCCGGAAAGGACACCAATTGCTTCAACTAATCTGCCAAACATCAAATCAACGATAAGTTTCATCTCTCGAACTGTCAGCAGCTCCAATATGTCAAAAGAAAGATACCCATCAGTTGATCCTAGTTCCTTTGGTTTTTACAAAAAGGGGGAAATAGTAGCTTATTAAATGCCTGTCAACCATTCCATCATCTTCTTAGCTTTTGCCCTGGTCCGAATGAATTGAATTTGAAGAGAATTCCGGCAGAACCATAGTACTAGTACTATTTGACAGTGACAGTTGACAAGTGAAGTGACAGTGGTGAATTGACAAGGCGAAATAAATTCAGCATACTAAGTTGATAAGTATCTCGTACCAACCCAAAAAAAAGAAATATTATTTTATTTCAATTCTCACTCCCAATTTTCCTCTGTAGATAAAGAATTTCACAGAGATCTCATAGCAAATATAGTGACAACTGAACGGAATTGAACAGAAATGGATTAAAGAACATAATTATTGTTGTTGAATTAATTTTCTCAAACAGTAATCTTTCAAAAATCACATTATTGGCAATTTACCTTCAGAGTACTCGCCACTTCAAGCATATAAGTTCGAGATAATCTCGAAAACAGATACACGAGATATGGGATTGAATAATGCAGGAGAAAAAGTGAGTTTCTGAATATTAGGTTCGTTACAAGAGTTTTCTTCAAGGGGTAGATACGACTACAAAAGAATTCAGATTAAGCAGTTACCATGGCAAAGCGAAAAGTCTTACCAATACCAGGAAAAACAGCTGTAATATTTACAAAACGGCAGACATGAGCAACTTCTGAAGCATAAGAGCAGTGTTTTCATTTCAATTGAAAGACTGTATTCAGTTTTCTATTTTATATTTGTAGCAGAACATACTGTAGATTATTTGGAGCATTCAATTCAATTCAGGCAACACACGAAGTATTTTATTCACCGAAAATGTTGAGTGGGACTAATCAAACACCAATAATCACTCACCAGAGCGAGAGGTGTATGATCATTGGGTACAAGAATCGTGTGACCTGAGTAGATGCATTGAACTAAGAATGACGGCCTTGTGCATTTGTCAGACTGATATGTTACCTCATTCAGTGTCGAAAACTCAACCAAGTTTCTTATTGTTTTTTAAACTTCCCTTGAAGTGTTGAGTTGAAAAGCAGCTTTATTTTCGAATGCTAAAAAAAAACGAAGCCAACTGTTTTGGATTCGTTGAAAACGGAGGGAATTAGATTGAAGTAACGTAGGGCCGTGAATGCTATCGCAATATGATACTTTCGGAATGATTAGCGCCTCACATAATTTTATTTTGAATTTGTTGGTCAGTAAGTCGCGATTTAGAAACAGTTGCCTCAGGATATTGAAAGACGTTTGGATCAAATGGCTAACGTGTTTTGTAAAGCGCAGTTCAGAATCGAACCATAGGCCTAAGTTCAGTTACAAAAGACAGAACGTCACCATTTATATGAATATGAAGACTATTTTCAGTAATATTTCAAAGTTTATTCGGTCAAAAGATCATTACTGCCGACTTTTTGGAGCTTAACTCCTATTTACGAGCTGATGAAATATCAAAGATGATCTGTAGATTACGACTGATGAGGTTTTGAGCAGAATCAATGTCGGAGACCTAAAAGGAGAAGTACACTTAATGATGAATGTTGCATTTTTCTTCCGACTAATGGAAGTTGCAAATATATAAGCTGAATAGTAAAAGACCAAGGATGAATCCTTGAGGAACACCTTTAGTTACAGGCAGAGTCCCTGAGCTGATACCGTCCACCATAACCATAACATAAGTTGTCAGTTTTAGAGCTCAATTACATGACTTGAAATATAGGAACTTAGGAAAACAAAAACAAAAAAAAATTCGTTGCCACAAAAGTTTGTTTGGCGACAACTCCACTCATATAGCACGTTCAATTAGTAAACTTTGAAACGTCATTCAACTAGGCTCTAACCGTCTTTGTTTACTATGCTAGACCTCGTTATCTTGGACACATTGTATGCATAAGAGGGGTTTACACAATAATTACAATGATTTTAGACACTAATAACCTCCAAAATCGAAGAGGAATTTGAAAATGAAGAATACAGAAATAGTATTTCCAGTATTTTAACTGTTTGTCTGGAGTCAAACCTAGACACAAAGCAAAGTGTTTTTTGATTAATTCAAATTCATCACATTTGCCTTTATAAAAAGGAGTACCACAGGAATCTGTGTTGGGGTCGGTTCTGTTCCTCATACATATAAACGACACACAGTGATAAATCCAACGACACTAATACCTGCAAGATTAGCATGCATTTCAGTTTATCGAACGGCCCAAATTTCAGGAACCAAAATTCTGCTTCGTAGTTTCTGGGTATATATTTAGCAGAAAATCTTAATTGGGCAAAATTATACTAACTTCTTAGCAAAAAAAGGTTTTTTATGGTGTTAAAGAGTAGTGCCAACATTATATTTCCCATTTCACTCGTGATAGTGATGTTGCATGAGGCCATACAGCCGTCGGCTATTGAATAATTGGTTTACAATGAAAGACATCAAGATTTGTGGATGGGTCCCCCGCTTTTATTTTTTGAACAGGTCAACTCAAAAAATTGAAATTTGGGATAATGAAATTAATGCATGAATACTTCATTTTGAAGTGAAATTGACAGATGAAACTATCAAGATAGCGACTGGGCGCAATCTGGGAAAAAAATTAAATAGAAATATGGTTTCCCTATAATCCTGCCCAAACGTTAATTTTTTGTGGATATTGGGTATGTGTTTTCCGGAAACGTGAGGGTTGGTGTCACTCAAATAACGGCAAATTTGTCTGTGAACACTGCCGTTAAAAAAAATGTACATTAGTCACTAAAGCAAATATTGTGGAGATAGGAAGGATGCCTTGAAATGGTCATTATTTCGCAGAATTCTATTCTTCGAACAGGGCAATTTTCTGTTAGTTGGTGTACCATTTTAATTTTGTATGGATGATACCTATTCCTCTTCAAAAGTCTCCACACAGTAGAAGGGGAAACCTCACAAACATTCGTGACGGAATAAGTAGACTGTTCAGGATTTACAACAATCTATCCAATTATTTGCGCTTGCCGTTCTTCCGGAATGGACAGATGACCTGGGAGCTTTTTGTTATGGACACTACCGGTAGTTGTGAATTTGGATACAAGTTCACTATTTTATATTTGTAGCAGAACATACTGTAGATTATTTGGAGCATTCAATTCGATTCAGGTAACACACGAAGTATTTTATTCACCAAAAATGTTGAGTGGGACTAATCAAACACCAATAATCACTCACCAGAGCGAGAGGTGTATGATCATTGGGTACAAGAATCGTGTAACCTGAGTAGATGCATTGAACTAAGAATGACGGCCTTGTGCATTTGTCAGACTGATATGCTGTCAGACTGATATGTTACCTCATTCAGTGTCAAAAACTCAACCAAGTTTCTTATTGTTTTTTAAACTTCCCTTGAAGTGTTGAGTTGAAAAGCAGCTTTAACTGACACTTCCCCCATTCGTCATTAGGTTTTCTTCAAATAATGTAAATACAAATAAGATATCTCTTGAGATGAATGAAATCGATTAATATTATTATTAAAAAATCTCCAAAACTGACGTGAAGACAAGTGAAAGATATAATTCAAACCACAAAACTTCCAACAGGGTTAGTAAAGTGCTCGAATGATCATATACGAGAGTAGTCTGAAAAGTTTCCGATCCCAAGATGAAGATGGCAGCACCCGTAAATAAAAAAATTGTGAATTTCATTGTTCATCTGTCGACAGTTACTCATCAAACTTTAAGCCATTTTGGACGCGCAGTTGTTATTTAACAGACGTTTGAGTGAGTTGATGCGAGTGTTTTTATGAAAATGGACAAAATAGAGTATCGAGATGTAATGAAAGGCAATACGACTAAGAAAATGAAACAAAAGTTGAATTCTGTGTAAGGGGACTCTGTGTATAGAGGCAGTGGTTATGAACATATTAAAAGAAAATGCTTCTCACGTTGAATCAACATTTAGGCATAAGAAAGTTGTCCGCTCGGTGGGTGCCGCGTTTTCTCACGTTAGACCAAAAACGTGTTGAAATGAACATTTCCAAAGCTCTGTTGGCGCAGTTTAGGCGCAATAAATCCCAGTTTTGGCGTCAATTAATTACTGGAGATGAAACTCGGTCACATCATTGAAAGCCCGAAATAAAAATCCAGTCTTAACAGTGGACTGCAAAGGGAGAACTGCTTTCCACGGCTGTGCAACACCACACGATTATTCAGTGAAAAATTATTGGAAAACGTTGTCGAAGGCAGCATTTTCAATGGCAAGTTTCGAAGTGAAAATATATTAATACCACAAATCCCTATTAAACCTAGATATGTGCCAATTCATTTTAAACGTGTGCAATTTCCAATTAGATTGGCAGTGGCAATGACTTCAGTCCCAAGGACAAACAATATACGTTTGTAGTTTGGCAATTTATGTGGCAAAACAACGTTTGCCAGGTCAGCTAGTCCATTTATAAAAATGTTGAAGAGTTATATGTGTTAATGTGTTTGATGGAACATTTCCAACGCATGTTTGGCGCCGTTTAGGCGCAATAAATCCGAGTTTTGGTGTCAATTAATTACCGTAGATGAAACTTGGATACAAAAATACAGTCCAAACAGTGGACTGCAAAAGAGGAACCGACTACAAATAAAAGTCTAGTTTTTTCGGTTGAGAAATTGAGGCAACTGTTTTTTGGGATAGTCATGAAGTTATTTTAATCGATTATCTTCAAAAAGGAAACCATTACACGAGCACAGCACAAGGTGAAGGCAGAACTTGCAGAAAAATTACTACATTTGCAGAAAAAAATTCTGTTTCACCAAGAAAACGCACAGTCTCACTCGAAAATCCACGAATTACGGTTTGAATTGCTTGACTATCCGCCTCATTCACCAGATCTAGCCCTAAGTGACTTTTTTGTTCCTTCATCTAAAACTTGCGCACGGAGGACAGAGATTTTCGTCAAATGAAAAGGCAAAGGCCTACACAGTTTTCGTTAACTATTATTGTTTATGCATCGAGCGTGAATTATCCAAGAGTCTTTGAACTCATTGGATTTGCCAGGCAAGCCACCGCATAATTTACAACTGAAGGTTGAATCGCTTCGTAATATGAATCCACCACGTCTGTACAACAGCACGCGATTAGTCGCTGAGAAATTAATGAAAAACGTTGTCGAAACCAGTATTTTAAATGGCAGTCGACAGTATATCGACAAAAATAATAATCTATAATGTATATAAAATGAACTGAAAATGGTGTTATTTAAAAAAAAATTGGTCACTGACAGATCTATAGGGTGTCCCAAAACAACGCACCGTCGCACTCCTCAGCGGTTTTCATGGCGAAAATCCACGAATTACGGTTTGAATTGCTTGACTATCCGCCTCATTCACCAGATCTGGCCCCAAGTGGCTTTTTTTGTTCCTTCATCTGAAAATTGCGCAAGGATGACAGAGATTTTCGGTCGTAAACTTTTCAGACTACCCTTGTACATCATTGTTAATACTGTCCTGAATACTGGAATGACACGAACATGTTACCGGATGGTATCATCAGTTTCACCTGAGTTTGTAATGAGTTAAATTACCTTTGCTTATGTTCCATTTTCCACATTTGAAAACATATTCAAGTATATATATATATAGCATTGAATGTGTAGAATTAGTTATTAAGACACGCCCGAGGAAGCCATTGTATGGCGAAACACGTGTTGCGTTTTTGTGAAACTGTCCAGTGAAAATCACACAGTTATCCACAGTTATGGATTTTTATCAAGTATCGGCCGATTCCATCATATATAAAAACATAGATATCAATTTTAAAGAGGATTCAAAAGCATTCTCACACAAACACTTTTATAATTCGGAAAACACATATATATTGCTCGTGTCTGCCGTAGAGCATCATCCACCATAAGCACTTACTTGGAGAGGGGGGTTGCGAACTGCACCTGGAGCTCTGATCGCTCAGGCTTTCAGAATTGCCAGCGACGCCTATACTGACAGGCTGCCAGTGCATGTGACCTATAGGCGAGGATTGCAACAAAACAAAATCTGTCTCACCTATCCCGCTAGAGCTGTTGGTGCGAGAGCGATAGCCTCGTAGAAAATCTAAACAGAATAAGCGACTAAGCTTGAGGTTTCGGAAAGAAATACAGTTGCGTTCTTCATGCCATGTGTTAGGTTATGAAATTTAAGCTCCACTCATTATGAGTGACTACTGATCTACAGCTTTGATCCGCTGGAAAACATAAACGAAAATACAGTAGAGCGTCAATAATCCGAACGTCAAAATTACGAACGCTCACTTCCAACATGTGAAGTGTATAGTCGAAGTAAACAGCATTGTGCATACTTAAAAGTTTCGGCGCTCTCAAAGGCCAAAAAACCAATACATAGAAATGAAGCCGCTGTCAACTAGTCCACGTGGACTGAAGAATAGGCGGTTCGTATTGGATGATTTTTACTAACCGAGTTTTATGATTGACTGGAGAGTCATAAAATTAAATTTGAAGTCATGTAACGGTGACGAATAGGAATCGGGGAATGCGAGGATGGTTATCGCCGTCGTGTTCAGTTCAGGAACTNCAGTACGAAATGCAGCCTGAACGTAGTCAAGCTCAGCTCCTGCTAGTTAAGCAAATGAAGGATTAGGCCGGCAGAAAAAGAGTTTCGAAACTCGAAACAAATAAAATATTTTGGTGCTTTCGTCCAGTTGTGTTTATTTTTTTGTGTATACATACATACATACATTTGTGAAAATGTATGTAGTGATTTTTTTTTAAATGAGTGCATTTTTCTGGATCAAAGTACAATATGTATGTATAATATATTTTTATAAGTACAAAAGTTTTTATTTTCATTTACCCTATTATTTTTAGTGTAACTAGGAGTTTCTAGGTTATGTTCGAAAATCCGAACCCTCCCCAGTCCCAATTAGTTCGAATTTTTGACGCTCTACTGAATTTCTATCTGCTCACAAGTAACATTTTGTTATTGGGGCAGGGCTAGTTTTTGTTAAATTTTCAACTAGACATACTTATTTCTGTCCGCTGATCACGAATATGAAGTCTAACGTTGACGCTCCGGTCAACCTTCAGAAATACGGCCACTCAAAACCCGTCACTGTTCCATACGATTGGTAGATATGGCAACATCGGATATGTATTTATTTTATTATACTGTTACAGCCGACTACAACCACAGCCATTTTGTAATTTTCTAGCAAAATAACTTCGCTGGAACCCATTTCTCTGCAGAGTTATTCTGCTAAAAAGCTACAACTGCAGTCGGTTACAATAATATAAATCCTATGTTGCCAAATCTGCAAATTTTATGTAGTCCGGTGGTTATAAAAACTAGAGAAATGACACTTTTGGCAGGTTTGCATGTTGAGAAGTATCAAGTATTTCACCAAAATAACCTCAACCATAGCTTTATTGAAGTTTTTTTATATTAATTGTGACATTATTTCGAAAATTCAAAGTCAAGAAATAAATTTACATTGGCAAATTTTGAAACTTTCACTTAGCATTGCCCCTGAAGACAAAAACATCAATTTGAATACTTTTCGAAGTGAATTTGAAAAACTCATGAATTAAACTCAACTTTACTTTGTTCAAACTTGAATTTGCTGTAATAACCCAAATTGAGGAACATTCCCCATTGCTCGGATACAAACTTTAAACTCTGCACATTAGATGTCAGCACATTCAATTTATTGCAAACTCATCAAGAATTTTTTGTTTTTTCAAATAACTGTGTCAGCGAAACATCTGATATATATTTTTCGAATGAAGTTTGTGGAAATCAAATCGTGAGGTGTATATTATTAAATCATTAGGAATAAATTGTTAACAAACAACTAACAAAACATTTTTTGGTTTCGGGTTTCTTAGCCTCAATCTGCAGGTTTTTACGCCTGACGTTTCATCTACAACTGCGGCAGGCATCAAAGGCGAGGCAGTAATGCTCGCTGTCATACACAAACTGAAAATTGTCCTGGAGTGTTGAAATTTATAATGGGACTGAAAGTCGGACGTCCATCTGTTTTAGTACATGTTATGTTCGATCCTTCTTGAATAATTTAGAGAATCCATGTGTTTGAAATTGCCGGTATACATGTTTTCACTAATAACAACCCTGGCTACTACCACGACGGACATTGAATTTTATCTTACAAGCACAGTTTTCAGTCTTATTTAGATTTCTGTTGAAGTTTAGACACAAAATGCCCCTTCTTTTCCCAAACGAGGTGGAGCTTTGAGTATTTCAGTCGAGTTCTGAACAAACTGATGTCTTGGTTAGAACTGTCCTGCACTGAAGGGGAGTATTAGTTTCAAACTAGTCTGTTGGTGATCACTCAATTGATTTCAACAAATTCCTGTAGCTGGATGAATGAGAACCATTTTCAATAACGTCCACTCCGATGAAATTTGCTCAAATAGGTGGACTGTTCAAAAAATGAGGTGGATATTGAAATTACGCGGGCTACATATATTCGATTAGCGATTTTTTTCATTTTTTCATGTTGATACACTCGTCTCGACCATATATTGACAGTTTCAGCTAAGTCTAATTTGTTGGAGAGATATGCTTAAAAGTGTCATAACTGGAGACGAATTATGGGTATATGGTTATGACATTGAAACCAAAGTGTAATCGTACCAATGGAAGAGTCGAGACCAAAAATTGTACGCCAAGTTCGATCGAATGATTCCAGCTTTCTTCGATTACCGCGGCGTAGTGCATCAGAAGTTCCTGCTACACAGTCGTACGGTCAATAAGGAGTACTACCTTAAAGTTATGCTTTGCTTGCGAGAAGCAATATGAAGACAACCGATAATGTGGAAAAACACTCGTTATTGCTTGTTCGTAATCTTTTTGCCAAAAACAACATCGTAATAATGCCTCAGCCAGAGTATTCGCCTGATTTGCCCCCCTGCGACTTTTTCCTGCTCCCAAAATTGAAGAGACCCCTTGAAAGGACAGCGTTTTACTCTCTCAGCGATTCGCTTATGAACCACTGAACAATAATCGAACTTGACTTTATTTCACTTTAAATACAATAAACACTTCAACTAAAAGTTACTATAATTCGATTGTCTATCGCCTTACTAGATCGCTTCGCGTACCACACTGTAACTTCCACTTGACTGTGTCGATATGCCTGTGGGTAGCGTCTATATATCGTAATCGAATGAGCTAGAAAATTTTGCCAAAATCCATCGAAATCTGTAGACTTATTCACGCTACATCTAGAGCAGCAGCGAACATCGTATATTCGCGCGCTCTTAGCTACGTCACGACTGGTTTATGGCTACCAGTGGCGGCCGGCGTTTTTTTCTTTAGGGCATGATTCACAACAGTATATTATATCTGACTGACTACTTCGATGGGGACAGATTAAAATTTGATGAGTAAATAAATATTTAGTATTGAAGTATATTTTTATACATGTATATTTTACAACTTTGTAATTTAGCGTTTTCCAATAGATTGATGGATGTAGAAAATGTTCATATAGGACGAAACTGCAGTAACGTTAATTACAAATAAAAGTGGTAAAAAACATAGACAGTTTCATTTCTCTTTTCTTCATTAGGGTTTTCCCTTCATACCGAATAAATAAATGAAAGAACGTTGTTAGAACGTTCAACAAGTTGATTTCTTAGCTTTCGTTGAGGGTATTTATAAATCCATGCTTGACAATTTTCTACTTGACTCAATTCAAGTAGGTTTGTTTCAATGAATTAATTCTCAAAAAACCTGAGACATCAAACTGGGACAATACTCAAACGAATACATACATGACAGATCGAAGACAGGAAAAGCAATTGGCATGCAACTTATAATAAATAGATCATGATCCACAGCAAACTTTGGTGAATCATCACTAATATTTTCTAGCATGCAAGTTGGTTAATATTACAAACATGCACATGCACAAACGATACACAGCTATTGAATTCACTAACAGCACACAACTGACAATGGGGGTGTCCAAAACACAATTTGGCGATTGAAAAAAAAAACACAATTTGGTGATTAAAAAAAACACAAAAATACTTGCCTCTTGAAATATTTGCGATATAAAGCAACTCTTTCAAGCTTATTTTGTTTGACAAAATTATCCCACTCAATCAAAGTAATATTAGACGATTTTTATTTGAAAATCATTAAGTTGCCTTTGAAAAATACATGAAACGCAGAAGGGCCACTTTGAATTCGAAATTTCAACATTAATCTTGTTATTTAATTTCGAAATCAAAGTCGAAATTTTGAGTTAAAATTCGAAATTTTCAGTTTGAATTAGTAATTTCGAGCGTGAAGTCAAAATTTCAAGATAAAAATCAAAATTATGAGTATGTAGTCGAAATTTTGAGTTAAAAGTCGAAATTTCGAGTTAAAAGTCGAAATTTCGAGTTAAAAGTCGAAATTTCGAGTTAAAAGTCGAAATTTCGAGTTAAAAGTCGAAATTTCGAGTTAAAAGTCGAAATTTCGAGTTAAAAGTCGAAATTTCGAGTTAAAAGTCGAAATTTCGAGTTAAAAGTCGAAATTTCGAGTTAAAAGTCGAAATTTCGAGTTAAAAGTCGAAATTTCGAGTTAAAAGTCGAAATTTCGAGTTAAAAGTCGAAATTTCGAGTTAAAAGTCGAAATTTCGAGTTAAAAGTCGAAATTTCGAGTTAAAAGTCGAAATTTCGAGTTAAAAGTCGAAATTTCGAGTTAAAAGTCGAAATTTCGAGTTAAAAGTCGAAATTTCGAGTTAAAAGTCGAAATTTCGAGTTAAAAGTCGAAATTTCGAGTTAAAAGTCGAAATTTCGAGTTAAAAGTCGAAATTTNAATACATTTCGCCAAATAACTAATATACAACACACCAACTCTTGAGATATAACACAAATATTACAACTTTACGGAAGCAAGCTTGAAAGAGAGACATACCTACAAATCCAATACTCTCGCCATTCATACTCTGTCGATAAACAAAAATCAAATCGCTACATTGTGATGGACGAGCCCTCACACACAAACCAAAATAAAAACACATGCAATTCCAGGTTTCTTTATTAATTTACAAAATAAATACAAATTGGAAACGCCTACGTACAATAATAAATAAACTTCAAAATATCACTAACCTTTCATAATAAAAACTACCAATTCTACTAAGTTCCACATGCTCGGAAAATGTGAATTCAATATCTGCATAGAGTGAAAATAAATGGGGGAGAGTATTAGTTTATTCCCAGGAACCAGCGATATTTAAATGAGTGAAATTTTCAACTTCGGCCAGTCTGGGATTTTGCTAACAAGAATCAAAGAAAAAATAATCCCTGCAGAAATTATATAACTTTATAACTAGTGATATATATCAACCAACTAGGTATCGCACTATAACTATTACTATTTATTTTAGTTTCTGTTCTGATTCACTTTTTTGCTATAGTTTTGAATTATGTATGTTTCTTGGGAAAATAAATTATCACTATTATAGAATGGGAATTGGTACAACAGTGATTGGACCGTGTATTCAAAAAATAAAATGTGTTTTTTTTATTTTTTGAACAATAAACTAGATAAAGTAACGGACAATATGATGAATAATATACATTATCGCTTGTGAAGCATAAGATAACAATTTTTACAATTTTTTAGTATCGAAGTTTGGTCAAAATAGCCTCCCACGGCAACTATTTGATTCTTTATTATTTTTTTATAGTTACTTGGAGTGTTCAAGAAACACTTTAATGTAACATTTTCACTAAACGGTTTTACAAAAACGCAACACGTGTTTAGCCTTACAATGGCTTCCTCAGGTGTGATCATACTGACTGAATTCTACATAATTAGTGCTTTATATAACAATTTGAATCAAAGGACCTTCTACCTACTTCTATATTATGAATGAAATTCATAGTAAGTTCGTAGGCTGACACACAGATGGCGTAACTAATATTAAATCCATACGTTTATTAGCATTCAAATGACACATGAACAAATTTCACAGCTGTAGGACTACTAGTTTGTGGGATAGAGCATTTTGAGTAAAGCAACTTTTGTTAGTTTGAAAACAATGGATGAAAAGGATGTTTGCGTAAAAGCATTGCTTTTTGTCGAAAAAAAAACTGTTGACGCCATTGCACGGCTTTATAAACATTATTCGGACTTTGCACAAGGGAAGTCAAGCGTTGATAAGTGGTTTGCCAATTTTAAACGAGGTGAGATGAACACCAAGAACGAGGCACGCAGTAGAAGCCCTAAAAAAGTCCACAAACTAATCTTGGATGACCGCAAAGTGAAGTTGATCAAGATAGCTGAGGCTGTAAAGATATCAGTTGGACATATCGTGCTCATAATCAACCGAAAACAACAACAAATTGATGATTCTGAGTGTTGGAAGCTGTTCCACCCTGAAAAAACCCGAACTTATGCGTTGATATGTGACAATGGATGAAACATGGCCCCATCATTTTACACCAGTATCGCTTGCTCAATGATAACGTTATATCATTTGTGGAATTCCAGAAACATTACATCAGTCGTCAAGCACACCTAACTAAACTATTGTACAGCGAAACTCGTGTTGCAGTTTTGTAAACTGTCCAGTGAAAATCTCATGATAAATTGTTATTAATTTTTCCATTTCTGAAAACGTAAAAGATAATTCATTGAAATTAATTCCGAGCGACTCAAGATGAATTAACGGTTGAATTATTATAGACACGTTTATGAATGAAGGTAATTTTTTTCTGAACTGTATTCATGATGTATCAACAGCATTAAATATGGAATGTCCCTTCAATTACAACATTGATCTTCAGTTGATGTAATTTCAAAACATTTAAATATACACTCGTAGGTCACAGAACATGTAATAGATCATGTAAAGCCTTTCCTACCATTTTTTTTTTAAACTTGAAAATTCTGTTGCTCGATTCGTTTTGACAAACAGCTACTAAAGATATTATCATTATTAGGGAAGTAGCATCTACATTATCATTATAAATGTACTATGTGGAATCACGATGATTTATTTAACTTAAGGAATTTCTGCAGGAATAACATCTGATGAGAAATCTCCAAAACTGACGTGAAGACAAGTGAAAGATATAATTCAAACCACAAAACTTCCGAAAGGGTTAGTAAAGTGCTCGAATGATCATATACAAGAGTAGTCTGAAAAGTTTCCGATCCCAAGATGAAGATGGCAGCACCCGTAAATAAAAAATTGTGAATTTCATTGTTTATCTGTCGACAGTTACTCATCAATAGACTCTGCTTACTTTGCGAATAAACCTATGAGCTTACTAGTGCGATGTCTTCGTAGTGCATGGACAACCATTGATTTCACCTGTATGATATAACTAGATTATTTTTAGCTTACTGTGCTTAACAAGTGCCTGGATAACAATTTCAACCCAAGTGTGGATGGGCCCGCCCCAGGTCCATTTAGGTGTGGCCACATTTGGACTTAACAACAACGTTCGTTACCAACTGGCCGGATAGCCTTAGTTGCTGAGACCACTGAATCGAAAAGAAGAAGAAGAAGAAAGTTTCAGCCATTTTGGACGCGCAGTTGTTATTTAACAGACGTTTGAGTGAGTTGATGCGAGTGTTTTTATGAAAATGGACAAAATAGAGTATCGAAATGTAATGAAAGGCAATACGCCTAAGAAAATGAAACAAAAGTTGAATTCTGTGTAAGGGGACTCTGTGTATAGGGGCAGCGGTTATGAACATATCAAAAGAAAATGCTTCTCACATTGAATCAACATTTAGGCATAAGAAAGCTGTCCGCGCGGTGGATGCCGCGTTTCCTCACATTAGACCAAAAACGTGTTGAAATTAACATTTCCAAAGCTCTAAATCCCAGTTTTGCCGTCAATTAATTACTGGAGATGAAACTCGGTCACATCATTGAAAGCCCGAAATAAAAATCCAGTCTAAACAGTGGACTGCAAAGGGAGAACTGCTTACCACGGCTGTGCAACACCACACGATTATTCAGTGAAAAATGATCACGTTAGACCAAAAACGTGTTGGAATAAACATTTCCAACGCTGTTGGCGCAGTTTACGCGCAATAAATCCGAGTTTTGGCGTCGATTAATTACTGTAGGTGAAACTTGGATACATCATTGAAAGCCCGAAATAAAAATCCAGTCTAAACAGTGGACTGCAAAGGGAGAACTGACTTCCACAGCTGTGCAACGGCACGCGATTATTCAGTGAAAAATTATTGGAAAACGTTGTCGAAGGCAGCATTTTCAATGGCAAGTTTCGAAGTGAAAATATATTAATACCACAAATCCCTATTAAACCTAGATATGTGCCAATTCATTTTAAACGTGTGCAATTTCCAATTAGATTGGCAGTGGCAATGACTTCAGTCCCAAGGACAAACAATATACGTTTGTAGTTTGGCAATTTATGTGGCAAAACAACGTTTGCCAGGTCAGCTAGTCCATTTATAAAAATGTTGAAGAGTTATATGTGTTAATGTGTTCGATGGAACATTTCCAACGCATGTTTGGCGCCGTTTAGGCGCAATAAATCCGAGTTTTGGTGTCAATTAATTACCGTAGATGAAACTTGGATACAAAAATACAGTCCAAACAGTAGACTGCAAAAGAGGAACCGACTACAAATAAAAGTCTAGTTTTTTCGGTTGAGAAATTGAGGCAACTGTTTTTTGGGATAGTCATGAAGTTATTTTAATCGATTATCTTCAAAAAGGAAACCATTACACGAGCACAGCACAAGGTGAAGGCAGAACTTGCAGAAAAATTACTACATTTGCAGAAAAAAAATCCTGTTTCACCAAGAAAACGCACAGTCTCACTCGAAAATCCACGAATTACGGTTTGAATTGCTTGACTATCCGCCTCATTCACCAGATCTAGCCCTAAGTGACTTTTTTGTTCCTTCATCTAAAAATTGCGCACGGAGGACAGAGATTTTCGTCAAATGAAAAGGCAAAGGCCTACACAGTTTTCGTTAACTATTATTGTTTATGCATCGAGCGTGAATTATCCAACAGTTTTTGAACTCATTGGATTTGCCAGGCAAGCCACCGCATAATTTACAACTGAAGGTTGAATCGCTTCGTAATATGAATCCACCACGTCTGTACAACAGCACGCGATTAGTCGCTGAGAAATTAATGAAAAACGTTGTCGAAACCAGTATTTTAAATGGCAGTCGACAGTATCTCGACAAAAATAATAATCTATAACGTATATAAAATGAACTGAAAATGGTGTTATTTAAAAAAAAATGGTCACTGACAGATCTATAAGGTGTCCCAAAACAACGCACCGTCTCACTCCTCAGCGGTTGTCATGGCGAAAATCCACGAATTACGGTTTGAATTGCTTGACTATCCGCCTCATTCACCAGATCTGGCCCCAAGTGACTTTTTTTGTTCCTTCATCTGAGAATTGCGCACGGATGACAGAGATGTTCGGTCGTAAACTTTTCAGACTACCCTTGTACATCATTGTTAATACTGTCCTGAATACTGGAATGACACGAACATGTTACCGGATGGTATCATCATTTCGACCATCACCATTCGAACCCAACGTATTATCGTTACCATCAATGCCCATCACCAAAATTACCCTTATCGTCAAGACCCGAACTGCTGGGTTTCGGAAACTGTACGACCGGTTTGTGATACTCGACTTGCACGATGGTGTCTACGTACTTGACTCTTTTATTGCTTTTCTCGGTAAAGTGAAAATTACTCGCTAGTGATTGTGTAAGTGCATTGTGAGATTCACCTTGAGATGCGTCGGGACTGGGAGGAATGACTGACGTTTGGGGGACATCAGGCTCTATCGTTATCTTAGTTTCCTCCGTTTCTTCAAGAACGTCCTCGCAAGCTTCTTCGTTGAGGGTTTGCAGGGCACCGCATATCATTTGTTCTTCCAGTGTCACCTAAAAGGAACGATAACGAATTTATTTCTCCAGTAACAGAGCACATGTTTATGGTGCGGAAAAATAATTGAAAACTATTTCATAAGTGATGTGTTAGTTGCCGATCTTTGTGAAATTTTATATGTATATTCGGTAGGCCTGAGAATAGGTTGTAGTCTATTTTTCATACCCCTAAGTGATAAAGGTGCTCCACAGCGGCGGCTCGTCAGAGGAGGCAAGGGAGGCTTAGCCTCCCCATAAAATTTGAGGCTATTCATCGCAATAGACTAAAAGATATTGACAAATAATTATGATTATCTTTTTGTAAACATGCTTGGGTATCATTACTTTACAATTAATTTTCAATATAAATACATATGCCCGAAAAAACACTATTGCTCACTACGTAGTACGTACCACACTGTATCCTGCATCAACAAACCTCAAACGCACCTCCCATGAACGAATAACGAATAACACATCAACCCGAAATAATAAATGCCATACGTTGCAAGGGAGCCAAGCCTCCGACCGTTTTAAAAAACACAAGCTTTGCGAGGCCGATCCAACCAGCGACAAAGGTCCCGATTTGTACTTTTAGTTGCAGAAATTATAGCGTTAGAGGAGGCTAGCCTCCAGTTGCTTTCCGTTACTGTACTGCTGCGTTTGTTTTTAATTTAATTATTCGGACGAGATACCGTGTTAGTGTTTCTTGATAATATTTGTTATTTGTGTATTATGTGTGTACATGCAGTATTGTATTATAACAGTGCTTTTTGGTAATATTTTTAATGTGTTTGTACGAAATGGACGAAATTAAAAAATCTGACGATATAGTCGATTGGTTGCAGACAAATAATTTTAAGTCCTTATATTATGATAATAAATTTTCCATTATTAAAACACTGGGAAGGCATCAACCAAATTTGATTTCAATTAAAACGTCAGATAATCGACAAAATCGTGGATTTAATATTAGTTGGTACGATACATGTGATTGGTTAACCGGCTCCATTAAACGAGAAAAACTTTTTTGTTGGCCCTGTGTTTTATTTTTCGTACAAACCGAATACCAAACGTGGTCTAAAATAGGATACTCCGATTTAAAAAATTTACCTCGTTCTACAGAAAGACATTTTAAATCTAAGAAGCATATTATTTCGTCTTGTGAATTAAATTTATTTAGCAAACAAAATATATCAACAGCTTTAGATACAGCTCAAAAAGAGGCCATGATTTCTTTTAATAATCAGGTTAGGGAAAATCGGTCGAATTTAAAAAGACTTATCGTTATTACGATTTATTTGGGTTCCCAAGAATTAGCTTTTCGTGGACACGATGAAACCGAAGATTCGATAAATCGCGGTAATAACAAGGAACTTTCAATGTTATGGGGCAAATATGATTCACAAATTGGCACTTTTTTGAACGGTAGCGTTTTTTCGGGCACCTCAAAAATCATCCAAAATGAGCTTATAGATGGTGTGGCACATATTATTAAGGAAAATATAACACGCACGGATCCATTCTATTTCTCTTGTCACTGTACTAATAGATCTAGCAGCCGCCTGAACGGTTGCAACTTGCATAAAAAGGTAGCGACGGTACCACACTGAAACCGTACAACTGCACATGCATAAAAGAGGCCTAAGCCTTCTCTCACTGCCTACACAGTTTTCGTGCATCGAGCGTACGTACAGTTTGCGATGTCACCGAAGCTGTGAATTATCCAACAGAATCTTTAAACTCATTGGATTTGCCAGACAAGCCACCGCATAATTTACGATTGAAGGTTGGATCGCTTCGTAATATGAATCCACCACGTCTGTGCAACTGCACGCGATTATTCGGTGAGAAATTAATGAAAACCGTTGTCGAAACCAGCATTTTAAATGGCAGTCGACATAATATAATGGGTGTTATTTTAAAAAAATTGGTCACTGACAGATCTACAGGGTATCCCAAACCTCTGACAAAATTCGAAATCTCCGTTATCTTAACGGTTACATGAAAAAGTTATTATGTTGAATTTTAGGCACCACTAAGATCCATGTGTCATTATGTGGTGACACCATAATTTTATTTTCTCTTTTGAAACGCCCTATATTTAATTGTATTTCTAGAATATACATGAAACCATAAAATACAATGTAAAAATAAATTAACATTAAAAACAATACAAATTATGATGAATTCTAAAAATCTGTATGTTTATTATAATCACTAAATTACATTTCAAAAGATTCTTTTTTTTACAGTTGCTCATATCAGTTCTGTGGGGTTTAAATCCACAGGCTTGATTTACTTTCAAATGGTTTTGACTGAGTTAATCGAATAAAAAAAATAAAAAAAACTTACTTGTTTTTCAATATTACTGTGTTTTCTCTGAACTCCGTCAACTTGCATTTTTCCCATATCTTTTTCAATTGTTCCACTGCCCTTACTCACGCTATCTGGAAAAGGGACTATCAATGATTTTATAATTCACTCTGAATCACTTCAATATTTAAAAAGGAAACTTACTTCTTTTTTCCACTTGCTTGGCGGCCCTAACAGGTTTAACTTCATCCTGTTGCAAGATGCTAGTGATTTCGTGTTCTCTGAGCGTTATCAACAAGACTTTGAACATCTCCCAATCACCAAAAGACATTTTCAGCAACTGAAAATCAAGTTGGTATCACTAAATGACAAGCGACATTCAGTCGAGTCATAATGAAAGTAATCGTTCTCACTTTTTTCAGTTCTTCCAAATCACAGTGTAGCAGTACCCTGCCGTTGATGTTCTGCTCTCTTATCATTTTTGTATACTCAGCCAAAGCTTGGGGATTCAAATCTTCCATATTTGACAGGAGTTTGCAAACGCCATCTACATTCAAAGTTGAAAGTCTCGTCTCCAGTATTTCAGGCTACAACAAGGAATTGACAGTCATAATAAGTGAACACTGGAGAGAAACAATTGTTAGAAATATTGTTATGTGAACGGGATTTATTCAAAACTATAAGATGAATGTTCAAATTTCGTTGTGTACATATGTTTACAGTTTCAGCTGTTTAGCATCCACTAAGAATATAAAATCAATTTATGGTTTTTGAATGGTTCAAAATGTCTTTTTTAAATAAAATCCCAAGTATGGGAGATATTTTCTCTCTTATTGTTGCAAAGTAGTGTAACAAAGGGCATACGAAGTAATTCAAGGTCAAGCACTGCAAATCTTATATTTGATATAATGATAAATATATATCCCGTGATTTGGATTCAAAACATCACGGTGAATATCCCAGCAAATTTTTGATAGGCTATTATGAATGTGTCGAAACTGGGGACCCGACACACGTTGAACATCCCAGCCAATTTTTTATAATACGTTATTGCTTCATAATTGATTCTAATAGCATACAAAAAAATAACCTAGAATGTTCGCAATGAGGTACCCCCCCCATGAGGCACTGAGGTACGGCCCCCCCATCTTTGTGGAGGTGGGGTCCCTTTGAACATTCTCACAAATTTGCCTGTTGACATGGTTGAAGATTTCGAGATCATCTGTAAACAGCAACAATCTTGAATGTTTGATTATCCCTTCAATATCATTAATGAATATATTGAACAAGAAGGGGCCTAGGTGGCTTCCTTGTGGCACTCCTAACGTGACGTAAATATCCTCAGATATGAAACTCTTGACTTTTACAAATTGATATGTACCTCGAAGATAGCTTGCAAACCAGTTCAATAAATCTCTGTAAAACCCTATCGCTTCAAGTTTCCCAAGCAATACTGTATGAATAACTGTGTCGAATGCCTTGGAAAAGGCTGTGTAAATTACATCAACTTGGTAGATACTTTTGTTCCAAGGCATTCAACACAAATTGGGTTTTTACACAAGATGGAAGATAATGCAGCGATTTTTGGTACCTACCTCTAAAACAGTTACCGGAGCTAAAGCAAATGGTGACTGGAAAGACATCTGGTCAGTCCAGGGTTGCCACCCTGGCATTCCCGACATCTGCGGATACACTACCGCCTGCTGTGGTTGACCGACAGGAACCGATTTCGGGGTGGCCCGCATTCGCCCCATTAAAGCTGGTCTGGGAGTGTTCCAAGTGACTGAATTACCCGCTGCTTGCGAGTTCCTTGAGGGACCACCCATCATAACTCCCTCGTCTTCTTCTAAACCTTGCGTTTCTTCTAAAGTAGAGGATGCATGGATATTTAGACTTCATAATACTTGCGGACTTCCGAAAAGAAAAGTGTTCATTAATTAGATCATACCTTTTATTATTTTCTTCAAATACGGATCCAAATTGATTGTGAACGGTAGGAATATTTTAAGATCGCTGACTAGTAAGCTCGAACGGTGAAACGATAGAAAGATATCGAACTTCTTCTCGTCCCTATCCAACTCAAGAAGTGGCTCAGTGTCTTTCATCATAGGGATATGAGGCCTGATTCTGAAAACAAAACATTACGATTATCTGCAAAAGCATCTCTTTGGTTGCGTTCATAAAGTTATAGTCTATCCATTCCCAATTGGAACGGTAATAAAAATAAGAGTACAGTCATAAACATTTCTTGCCTGTGGCCCCTAGTCGCCCAGATAGTTAGTAAACGTGCTATCAAATGTAGTTGTGGAATAAAGGCTCAACTAGGTGGACTGGCTGAATACTAATTTTTTGTCCGTTTCACAATAGTTATTTATCAGTGCCGTGTGTTCGTGGGGTTAGGTGAGGTAGTGAGTGGTTTTGCAAATCGATTTTTGAAAACTTTTTCCAGAGATCAATTACCCTAACACCAAACTGATATTTTTGCACTCGACGTGCGTTTCGCTAACAAGGTTAGCATCTTCAGGAGAAGCAAATTGATACTGAATCTAAAGACAAGGCTTAGCTATCTGAACTGAATACACTGAAACTTACTTATCATATATAGACTTTAGGGAAACGTTGTCATCGAGTGAATCTTCGTACATATCGTAATGGTAGAGTATCCATGATGTTCGAAAAGGCCATTGTTCCGTAATATTTATCCAAGAAGCTAAACGATACCAATTGAAATCGATTTGGAATGCTTTCAGTAATCTTCCTGAAACAGAAAAAATCATCAGTATTCTGTCTAGTATGCGAAATGACATGCAACGAAAGAAAAAGATGGCATCAAAGAGTACAGACAAAAGTAGATGCCCTGTTTGTAATGTTTAACAGATAATAGTGTCGAAGAGTGGTAACAATTCTATAGAAAATGATATTTTGAATGAAATTCAGAACTTTTCTCCCAAGAGAATTATTTGAAACTAAGAGCTAAAATTCACCATCAGGATAATTAGGTATACTTTTAATTATATATCGTATATATCTCTTCGTACTCACGTGATAATTTTTTTGAAATTTTCATTAAAAATCTTTCTTGATTTCTAAGGAACAATCGCTTTATCACTTCTTACATAGATACCATTTGATTTATTATAGCGAGAAGTGAAAGGTGCAGTTTTAAAACCGAAAGGCATTAGAGTAAATCTATTCAATATATGACAACCTTAAAAAAGTTAGCAGTTTAGACATTAGTTTCTCTGAATCAATTATTTTTCTCAAGAATATGAAAGTTTCCTTTATTCTTGGTATTAGACCTTTGATATGGAGATTTCTTGTAAAATACGTACGATTAACAAATGGGTATAGTCGAAGCAACCTGTATTGTGAATAGTTAAAGCTATTGGCATCTCAAAGGCCGAAAAAAACAATACAGAGAAATAATGCTGCTGCGAAATAGTCCACGAGGACTGAAGAATTGGTGGTTCGTGTAGTTAAAGAAGAAGTATCTAATATTACCGAAGAAGACTGGCATAAAAGGATTAAAAAAGTAATTTCAGCTGAAAAAGACATAACCAGCAAGATCACCGGATCTTATACTACTGAACTTTAACCTAAAGGCAATGCAAAGAATATATTGTACCATCAGAAAATTTGGATGATATCAAAACTCGTATCACTCTGATATAAAAAAAGTAACCAAATTCGCAGTTATCTTACAAAAGCACTGCAGCACCAACTCAAGTTCTTACGTTCTCACCTGTAATATAAACAACATTCATCAGTCTTCTCATTGAGCGAGGATTGACGTCGCTGAAATAGTCGTCAGTGAGCAACATCTTGGTGAGGTCCTGAGCTCCACCAATTCGATTTAAATTCGACCCTATTGAGCTTGCCACCGACTCGGACAACTTGAGCTTACGAGATCCTTTCCTCCCGGGAAATTTGCCGAGGTTCTCCTGGCTCGACATCAGAGCTTTTTCGTTAGACAGTCTCCTGCTCGATGACTGAAACACATACCACAACAACATTTGAAAAATTATTATCGGCAACCAGGCTTTATGAAATCGCGACGTCAATGTGAACAATTTGAGTGTCACGCCGTTTAATTCACCCACACGCTAAGTAGTGTTGTAGATCATGCCCGAAAAAAAATAACGCCGGCCGCCACTGGTAACCATAAACCAAACGTGATGTCGCTAAGAGCGCGGGAATGCTCGATGTTCCCTGTCGCTCGAGAAGCAGCAAAGAACTTCGGCGAAAATTCTACGATGTTCGATTACGATATTCAAACGCTAGCGGCGAGCATATCGAGAGAGTCAAGTACACAGTGAAGTGGACGTTACAGTGCGGTACGCGAAGTGATCTAGTAAGTGTTTGTTGTAACTAAAGTGAAATAAATTTGAGTTTGATTAGAAATTAGAAAAGAAAAACATTAGAAAGAGTACACTGTCTCATACATTTAAGAGAGATAGCTGACTGGGTGGCAATACGGCTAATATATAACGTTGAATTTCTTATTTTTGGTGGGTGGCATTCATGCATTATTGATTTATTTTATTAGGTTTCACAAGCCGTCGAAAACCATTTGAAAATATAGCTCATTAAATTCTA